TTTTCCCTTTTTTTTTGCTTCTTCTTCTTTTTTTTCTTCTTCTTTTTACTGGGGAGGGTCTCTGCTAGATACCCTTTTTCCTCTTCTACTTTGAACCGTCAGCAGAACCCGAATCTAATCTTCTCCCTTTTCCCTTTGGGGAAACAGACTCTGAAAAGACCTCGATTTCTCTTCGTCTCTGCGTATGCCTGGGACGTCTTATCGGAAACTCCTGGAGAGGCAGAATGATTATTAGTATTTCTGTGAACTGTAAACTATTTTTAAGAACAGTTTTATAAGAAAAAACTGCTGATTGCTATTAAAATTAAATGTTTAAATTTCCATAGAGCCATGATTCCTTGTGATGAAATTGCTACCTTTACAAGTGTACCATCCATTTTTTTAGGGATTCCCGTTTTTTTTCCCATATTTCTTAATTAAAAGCAATGGATTTGATGACATGTGTAAGATGAATAAAGGAAAGACAATAACAGATACAAGCCTTCTTAGAGAATTGATATTTGTGGAAAGGCATGGTAAGATTTTTTTTATTATAATGTGTGGTGATTTAATATGCTAGTACAGTATTTAGAGGAAAACAGGTTGCTGTATCAAGGAAAATAGATACTTGCGTCTTTGTTAGTTTATTCTGAACTTCTTTAATAGTATCAGCAGAATAGTTTGCTAGTTGCATCAAGCGACTGGCATTGCTTATGTTGTGTTTCTTGTCACCACCTGGAAGAACTGGGCCACCAGTGCGTCGAGGTGATCTTGAGGCACTACGATGTTTCTTGCGACTTGGTGAATGTGAGCCAGAGTTGTGATATCTACAAGTTTAAGATCATTTGTTTACCTGAATATAATCAGTGATACAAAATTACAAATTGAAACTATATTATTCAATAAATATAACCAAGAGGTGCAAAAAGCAATGTAAAAATATTAAATTAAGAAGCTGCAGTCCACAATGTGTAATTAAATATTTAATGAAGTTTCAAATACAGTGAACCCACTTATTTCATCATCCCCTTTCTGTATGTAAAACTATAGTTTTTTTTCTATAAAATGTGTTTTTTGTTAATATTTTTGGGTGTCTGGAGTGGATTAATTGGATTTACATTATTTCTTATGGGAAATATTAACAAAAAAAAATACATTTTATAGAGAATAACTACAGTTTTCAAGAGTGCATGAGCATGTTAGATAGGAGTGAATGGAGACTAATGGTTTTTGGGATCTGACAAGCTGTTGGAGTGTGAGCAGGGTAATAGTTAGTGAAGGGATTCAGGGAAACCGGTTATTTTTATATAGACGGAATTGAGCTCTGGAAATGGGAAGTACAATGCCTGCACTTTAAAGGAGGGGTTTAGGATATTGGCAGTTTGGAAGGATGTGTAATAGGAGACGGCCGACTTGTTGAAAAAAAAAAAAAAAAAAAAATATATAAATGGGGCCCTGATATTATATTTTATATGGTAAATAGTATAGTTTATTGCATTATTTCAGGTCACTTTTTATATTGTATCATTATATATGCTTCTAAGCTGTTGTATCTGGGTACCTCTGCAAAAACAGTGATTATGTATGAGTGAGGTGAAAGTGTTGAATGATGACAGTATTTTCGTTTAGGGTATTTTCTTTCTTTTTGGGTCACCCTTTCTCGGTAGGAGACGACTGATTTTTTTTTTAGAGTGAGAGTGTGCGAGAGTGTGTGTGTGCGAGTGTGTGTGTGTGTGTGTGTGTGTGTGTGTGTGTGTGTGTGTGTGCGAGAGAGAGAGAGAGAGAGAGAGAGAGAGAGAGAGAGGAGAGTGAGTGTGTGTGAGTGAGCGAGTGTGAGTGAGCGAGTTTGAGTGAGCGTGAGCGTGAGCGATGTGAGTGAGGAGTGAGCGTGAGCGAGTGTTGAGTGTGAGTGTGTGTGAGTGAGTGTGTGAGTGGTGTGTGTGTGTGTGTGGTGTGTTGTGTGTGTGTGTGTGTGTGTGTGTGTGTGGTGTGTGTGTGTGTGTGTGTGTGTGTGTGTGAGTAGTGTGTGAGTGTGTGAGTTTTGTGTGTGTGTGTGTGTGTGTGTGTGTGTGTGTGTGTGGTGTGTGAGTGTGTGTGTGTTGTGTGTGTGTGTGAGTGAGTGTGTGTGAGTGAGAGTGTGTGTGAGACAGTGTGTGTGAGACAGTGTGTGAGAATGTATGTGACAGTGTGTGTGAGCAGTGTGTGTGAGCAGTGTGTGTGAGACAGTGTGTGTACAGTGTGTGTGAGACTGTGTGTGTGGACTGTGTGGTGAGACTGTGTGTGTGGACTGTGTTGTGGACTGTGTGTGTGAGACTGTGTGTGTGATGTGTGTGGAGACTGTGAGTGTGTGTTGTGTGTGTGTGTGTGATGAGACTGTGTGTGTGAGAGCTGTGTGTGTGTGAGACTGTGTGTGTGTGAGAGACGTGTGTGTGTGAGAGACTGTGTGTGTGTGTGTGTGTGTGTGTGTGTGTGTGTGTGTGTGTGTGTGTGTGTGTGTGTGTGTGTGTGTGTGTGTGTGTGTGTGTGTGTGTGTGTGGTGTGTGTGTGTTGTGTGTTTGTTTTACATACAGAAAAGGGACGATGAAATTCGAGGGTCCACTGTACATATACAAATAGGTAAACATCCGTAGCTAGTCTCCTGCACTGACTTGCGTGGTTTAACAAGACAAAATACACGAATGCCTAACATAAGTAAACTATTTCTCTGCTACAATACATGGGGACAGGTAAGTGCAAATCAATATTAATTTGTTTAGAGAATATCCATGCCTTGAAAGGTAAGAATAAATAAAGTTTTTCCTTTATCTGGCTGTCTAACAAGATGTAATGGATGAGAGAAGTGTGGCTGGACTGTATCCTCCAGTTAGCTGATGCCAAATTTCAGTGATTACACTGAATTTTGGTATCAGCTGACTGGAAATTTGTAAAAATATTTATTGTAACCAATAAATATTTTTACAAATTTGCCTATGTACATGCCTTACATATTACATATGATTGCTGGCTCAACAGGTTTAGATACTAGAGGATGAAGAAATAAAGTGAACCACAATACACTGTAGCAATAATGTTGGTCTATGAGGGCAGACTATGCAAGTCATATAGACCCCCCCAGACACCCTATCTGGATCAGTGACCAGCTTAACCCTGCACATTTTTTTTTTTTAAAGAAAGGAGTTAACTTAAAAGAGGTTTGAAACAAAACCCATTTTTTCCTGTTATTAAATTTGTAAAAGTTTTAAGCATACATGTACATGCTGATTTACTGAAACATAACCCATGCTTCTTTTAAGAGCCTACCATATGTTTCTACATAGTTACTATTCATTTTTGTGTATCAAGATAAGAGCTATAGCATATATAAATTTTCACTTACCTTTGAGGGGGTGACATTGGTCTCCTGCGAGGACTCGAAGATCTACGTACTCTTGGACTAGGTGATCTACGCCCTCTTGGACTAACTGATCGTCTTCCTCTTAAACTAGGTGACCTACGTCCTCTTGGGCTTGGAGATCTTCGGTTCCTAGGACTAGGTGATCGCCTGCCTCGAGGACTGAGTGATCTTCCTCTTTTCATATGTGGTGGTGACATTCTACCTCTTATGGGAGGCGATCCACGCATCCGAGGACTTCCCTTAGGAGTGATGGACCTCCTACCACGTGGACTGGGTGATCTTCTATGAAACCTTGGACTAGGAGTGTGACGGCGAGGACTTGGGGACCTGTACACAATTTGGATATGACAAATTATCACTATACATTTTATATATTTTGCTTAATATATACAAAGACAGCCACAAATTAAGTGACTAGGCATCATATATTGTACACACAATATCATCTCTATACACTGTGCATGAAGTTACAAACATGAAGAGGATGTGAATACACGCTTGAAGTTTCTTACTCTTCCAACAATGAAGATGGTTCTACAGGCAACTCAGATGTGGTTATAGCTAGGTATTACTGAGGGCACCCCCCCCCCACATGTGCATACATACACGAAAAAAAAAGTGTGAATGGCAGCAATGAAAAGTAAGAGGTACCAATGCATTATCACCTCTTGTGCATGGGTCATATAGTTATGCAGACAATTTGGATGAGAGGTGCAACATTCTGAAGTAACAGGTAGTTTGGGAAGAAAAGAAAAGATTGTCAAATTATGCAAGCATAAACAATTATTAACAATAAACAAATTGTATACTGCATTACTTCTTCTCACGTACTGCTATAAATTGGGACATTATAATTTTATTATATTCAGAAAATGTACAAACAACTCAGTTGTGTAAATTGAAAATTGTACCTGTAATCAATGCCATAAAAATCTCCTCCAAATTACTTATCAAAGATAATTGTAGAGGCAACTGGAAATGCAGTAATTGCTACTACTGAAGGCACCAGATATAAGTTAATTGAGAGAGGATCCTGGCTCCAATGTAATCACAATATATCAATTGTGCAATGTAACAGCATATGCCAAAGACCTCTGTAAAATGATTCCTAATGCTGACAAGGAAGAGATTAACAAAAAAAACGAATGTGACGAAATTCTGAAGAGAAGCTGCAAAGTTTCGCAAACAAATCTGGGAGGGTTATGTAAAAAATAAAGTAAAAGCAAACCTTGGAAAGAGAAAGGTGATGAGAGTGCCAAAAAATATCGGAAAAGAAAGATTAGTAATCAGATCAAAGGGAGAGAGCATGGAGGAAGTAGATGTGTTCAGGTAATCTGGTAGTGAACTTATCGACAGATGGTTCAACGAGAGATGAGGCTAGCCATAGAAGTGACAAAGGGTAGAAGGTGAGTGGTGTACTAAGGAATTCATGGAGGCAATAAGGGTAATGTACCTAAGTATAATGGTACCAACATTGCTGTGTGGGTAAGAAACGGGTTTTGAATGTTAGTGAGGCGGCGGCTAGAGACAGTAGAAATGCCATGTTTGAAGGACAATGTCAATATTATGTGAGCTCTCTATACATACCTAAAATGAACATACAGAAAGTATGAAGGCATTTGGTAAAAACTAAGAAAACTAAAATTTATAATTAATCTTTAATAAAATCATAAATATAGTAGTCCTGCCACTGAAAAGGCTAACCATTTATTTTTAAGTCATTAACAGGTTCCAATGCATCAGCACTATAAACATGAAAGATCAGAAGTTGAAATGTCAAAAACTGGGGCCTTTGTGTATCTTGAAAAAAGAAATACAGTAAGGCCCCACTTTATGGTATTTTGCCTTACGGCGTTCCGCTAATACGGCGCTGTCAAATTATGGCCAAAGTTTGCTATACAGCAAGCGGTCTTTCAAATACGGCGCCCCCCACCCGGTTTGTTTACATTTTCCGTGACCACATCTATTATGTCAGGAAACTTTCCAAAATTTCAAGTGTTTTAAAGTTACTGCATATTTTATATGTACTCTGATAATTATACTTATGTGTACCTGTACCTAAATATACTTACACACTGTGCTGGTGTGCAGGTACATATTAAAATCGCTAAGTCTCTCTCTACTTATGACGCCAATACTACGTAATAATAATCACTCTTGGGCTCACTAATGTCTTATTTTACATCAATATAGGCATTTTCATTAATCCATCTATGATATTTTCCTCAAAATTATATATGAAACCTGTTCATAGCATATAAACATGATACATACACTCACAGAATAAAAATTTATGTAAATATGAGTTTGTTTACAAAGCAGCTGTGTGGGTAGTGTCAGAAGAATTACGTTTTCTTTAGTCAAACTGGGGGATAACTGTAGAAAAATATTCTTTTCGTATGCCTTTACTCTATATATAGCAATTCACGATCCTTGCGGGTTTAGTGCTTTTTATTAATAATAGTAATAATAATAATACTAAGAATACTTCATTGCACGCTAAAAGTGATGCCGTTGTTTTTCTGTACTAACTTGTTCAACTGTACACAATGTAAGAGTTTTGTATGTGAGGTAATTAAATGTTATAAAAAAATTGAGGTAAGTTTACAAATAAATTTATAGGATCAGGAACCAAAAGTGACACACATTAATATGATGGTGTACGTTCTGCTGACCAAGTGATCGCCCACTACCTGTTCAGTTTGTGTTCTTACAATGTCTCAACTCTGTATCTCATTCTCTCTCTCATTTACTCTTTCGTTAACTAGTTGGCTCTCATTGACAATGGCGTCAAAGGTTAGCTGTGATAAAAAGAGAAGTCGTAAGCCTCTTGCTTTATTAAGTGCCAAGTTAGAGGATGATGGTGTGCCATTCTGATTTTATTCAATAAACACCCTGCCACTCACCTCTCACACATTAATATTAATATTTTAAGGTAAGTAAGTAAGTGTACTCTGTGTGTATCTTACCTTTTATTGTGTTTTTATGCCCATTTCTATTGCTAACTTAATATAAGTTAGTGTAAACTTGTTGTCTGGCATTTATATGCATTTATAAATGGAAAAAAATGGTGTTCTGCCTTCCGGCGATGTCTGCTTTCCGGCGACAGCCTGGAACCTAACCCGCCATGTAAGTGGGGTCCTACTGTATTATAATATTAATTAAATGTACGTATATGAAGTTCCTTTCTTTTAATTTAACATGTGAACGCATTCTATGAGAAGGGACACATGAGAGAGGCAACTCACCTTCGGCGGTACCGTGGTGAGGGAGATCTCCTTCCTCTTCGAGGAGACATGGATCGCTTGCCAGGGTGTGGAGCATTACGACGAGGTGGGCTTCCACCACCTCTGTGCTCACCAGCAAAATTACGGGATGGACCCTGTTAAAATGTATCCAGTAAATAAAAATAATCTTGCAAATTAAATAAGCCCACTGTAATAATCCATATTTACCTTTACAAATATGGCTCAACAGGCAAACTGATTAAGAAGCTCCTGGCTTACCTCATCCTCTGAAGTTGAAGGATCCCTGTTAGATCTGTACTGCCTTTTCTTCAAGACAGAATCCTCTTTCCGATGAATCTCAAAGTCATCATCCTTATTCCTTAGGACGGATCGGCTCCTTGAGCGTGAACCACTTTTGAGGGTAAATTTTGAGGTTTAAGAACATTTCCAAAATATATAATAAAAGTTTTTCCACTTATTACAGAACAGAATAATGTTTGTCATCAAGCTTTATCAATGCACACACCAATACAAGAGGTTAATACAGATCAGGATAGTTAATGCTAAAGTGTCAAGAAGTGAGCTCAGTCAACTGTGACAAACCTACACAATACATGGGAGCTGAGTAACACAAAACCCATCTTTTCTGATAGAATAAGGGGGCTGGAGCCTGCATTCAAACATTTAACACCCTTGCAAATAAAATTATGATGCCTTCAGCACCACTAAATTCCTTGCACAACTATTCCTACATGGAGAGAACCCCACTCTTGGTGCAATCCATCTCCACCCTAACACCTGACCTTAAAAAGCTGACCTAGTGATATCCTGCACCCATCTTCACAACACTACACCTCACAATATGCAACACAAGGTGTTGAGCAGCTGAAACAAATGAACACTACCACAGCCAAAAATCAATGTCAGCCAATAAGCTGAATCCTTAGTTTCATCTGTTAGTAGGAATCTGCAGACATTGTCTTCCACATCTGCAAATTAGGCTCAGAGCCCTACACCTGTGTTTCTCTGTTTGAATTTAGTTTTTATTCTCTTCTGCCACACAGTACAGTAGGACCCTGCTTTATGGCATTTCGCCTTACGGCGTTCTGCAAATACGGACATTTCAAATTATGACCAAAACTCTATATGGCTCCCCCCACCTGATTTTCTAATATGGCCACCACGGTGACCATATTAGACTCTCCATTATGTCTGGAAACTTCCCAAAATTTCAAGTGTTTCAAAGTTACTTCATATTTTATATATACAGCCTCTCCTCACTTAACGGCAGAGTTCTGTTCCAGATACCACGTCATTCATTGAATTCGTCGCTAAGTGAGGAGCACACTACAATGGTACTGGGTTTGTGTCAACCATCTTTGATATTGTTTTTATGTCACCTTTGCACCATTTATAACATTTCTGGTATATTTTTAAATGTTTATACAGTAGTGTACTGTATAATGAAATACAGAACAGAGGAAATCAGCTCTAATTTACATTATTTACGTATAAATACTGGTCACAGAGACTGTCATAACTGCGAGGCATCAGTATATGAATAGCTAAGTGAGGAGGAGCTGTACTCTGATAATTATACTTATGTGTACCTGTACCTAATTATACTTATACACTGTGCTGGCATGCAGGTATATGTTAAAATTACTAAGAGTGTCTTATCAGTGTTGAAGATGCCATATTAATAATGATGCAATAATAATCACTATGAGGTGCATTACATATCATATATTACGTTAATATAGGCACTTTCATTAATCCATCTATGATATTTTTTCAAAATTATATAATAATGCTATGTAACATATAAACATGATAAATACAGTGGTCCCTCGCTTTTCGTAGTTCTCGGCAATCGTAAATTTCGCCAATCATAGGGGTATTTTCGTATAAACATGGACTCGCTGTCTCATAGGTTGACTCGCGAATAGTAGTTCGTCCAGGACGCTTACGCACGGTGTGAGCCGGGGAGGCCTCCCTACCCAGCCAGTCTGGCATTGTTTACCAGTGAGTGAAGGTCCCCTCAAGTGTTCCAATGAAATATTTCATAATATTCCACTCATTTTAGTGCTTGCAAGTACTAAATAAGCTACCATGGCTCCAAAGTAAGCTCCAAGCCTGTGGTAAAGAAGGTGAGAAATATGTACAGTGACAAAGTCTTGGGCCATTTTAGGGAAGTGTTAAAGAGACGCCAGAAACAGAGCTCTCTCCACAGTTACTTAGCGAGACAGGACTAGAGTGACTCTCAAGGTGGTCCTAGTGGCATTAAGAAACAGAGAGGAGAAGCAACCCCAGAGAAGCAATTGGTACCTGAGGTGTTGCTGGAAGGGGATTCCCCTTCCAAACTGTAAACAACCCTATCTCTCTCCTCCTTCAGTCTCCCATACACTAAGAAGAATCTCCAATAAAGGTAAGTGTTATGCTGTTAATGTTTCATTCATCATTTCCCATTGTATTGTTTATGTACTACATGTATATTTCATGTAAAAATTTTTTTTGTTTTAATACTTCTGAGTGTCATAAACGGATTAATTGTATTTACATTATTTCTTATGGGGAAAATTGATTCGCAAATCGTAAATTTCGTTTATAGTAGCTCCTCCAGGAACGGATTAATTACAAAAAATGAGGGACCACTGTATATCCACAGTAGAGTAAATTAACAAATATGAGATGTTTTTCCAGTTGGAGTGTCAGAAAAAACGTTTTCTCTAGTTCAACACCAAAGAAAATGTGTACACAACAGTATTACTGGAGATAACTGTAAAAAATTATTCCTTTCATATGCCTTCATTCAGAGCGTTATTCCTTCTAAAAATGGTGTTACATGAGAATGGGAGTGTTGCTCTTTATTTATTCTACTTTACCAACGTGGAGACAACTTGAACATTATGTAAGGTGTTTGTATTATGGTATAAGATTCACAGACATGGAAATGAACATTTTTTTTTTTTAACAAGTTGGCCATCTCCCACCGAGGCAGGGTGACCCAAAAAGAAAATACTTTCATCATCATTCAACATTTTCACCTCACTCACACATAATCACTGTTTTCGCAGAGGTCCCCAGAATACAACAGTTTAGAAGCATATACGTATAAAGATACACAACATATCCCTCCAAACCGCTAATATCCCGAACCCCTCCTTTAGAGTACAGGCATTGTACTTCCCATTTCCAAGACTCAAGTCCTGCTATATAAAAATAACTGGTTTCCCTGAATCCCTTCACTAAATATTACCCTGCTCACACTCCAACAGATTGTCAGGTCTCAAATACCATTCGTCTCCATTCACTCTTATCGAACACGCTCATGCATGCCTGCTGGAAATCCAAGTCCCTCGCCCACAAAACCTACCTTACCTCTTCCTTCTAACCTTTTCAAGGATGACCCCTACCCTGCCTTCCTTCCCCTACAGATTTATACGCTCTCCATGTCATTCTACTTTGATCCATTCTCTCTAAATGACCATACCACCTTATCAACCCCTCTTCAGCTCTCTGACTAATACTTTTATTAACTCCACACCTTCTCCTAATTTCCACACTCCGAATTTTCTGCATATTTACACCACACATTGCCCTTAGACAGGACATCTCCACTGCCTCCAACCGCCTCCTCGCTAATGCATTCACAACCCAAGCTTCACATCCATATAACAGTGTTGGTACTACTATACAGTGGACCCCCGACTTACAATATTAATTCGTTCCAGAAGGCTGTTCGGGTGCTGTTACCGAGCGAATTTGCTCCCATAAGGAATATTGTAAATTAGATTAGTCCGTTTCAGACCCCCAAAAATACACTTAAAGAAGCACTTACAAAAATACACTTACATAATTGTTCGTGTTGGGAGCTGATCGTAAGTCGGGGGTCCACTGTACTTCCATACATTCCCTTGCCTCCACAGATAACGTTTTTTGTCTCCACATATACCTCAACGCACCACTCACCTTTTTTCCCTCATCAATTCTATGATTAACCTCATTCTTCATAAATCCATCTGCTGACACGTCAACTCCCAAGTATCTGAAAACATTCACTTCTTCCATGCTCCTCCTCCCCAATTTAATATCCAATTTTTCTTTATCTAAATCATTTGATACCCTCATCACCTTACTCTTTTCTATGTTCACTTTCAACTTTCTACCTTTACACACACTCCCAAACTCATCTACTAACCTTTGCAATTTTTCTTCAGAATCTCCCATAAGCACAGTATCATCAGCAAAAACCAACTGTGTCAATTCCCATTTTGTATTTAATTCCCCATAATTTAATCCCACCCCTCTCCCAAACACCCAAGCATTTACTTCTTTTACAACCCCATCTATAAATATATTAAACAACCATGGTGACATTACACATCCCTGTCTAAGACCTACTTTTACCGGGAAGTATTCTCCCTCTCTTCTACACACCCTAACTTGAGCCTCACTATCTTCATAAAAACTCTTTTACAGCATTTAGTAACTTACCAGCTATTCCATATACTTGCAACATCTGCCACATTGCTCCCCTATCCACTATCATATGCCTTTTCTAAATCCATAAATGCAATAAAAACTTCCCTACCTTCATTTAAATACTGTTCACATATATGCTTCAATGTAAACACTTGATCTACACATCCCCTACCCACTCTGAAACCTCCTTGCTCATCCGCAATCCTACATTGTCCCACCTCTAAATCTTTCAATTATAACCCTACCATACACTTTTCCTATACTCAGTAAACTTATTCCTCTATAATTTTTACAATCTCTTTTGTCCCCTTCCCTTTATATAAAGGGACTATACATGTTCTCTGCCAATCCCTAGGTACCTTCCCCTCTTTCATACATTTATTAAACAAAAATACCAACCACTTCAACACTATCCCCCCCCCTGCTTTTAACATTTCTGTTATGATTTGTAGACAGCCTGTACTGTCTGCACAGACAGCCCATGCTGTCTGCCAGCTTAGTTCATATTTCGCACCATGCTGGTGCTGCCACCTATAGGCATTGCCACTTCAGCCTGCCTGCCCTTGCCTCACTCTCACTCACACAGTGGCCTAGCAGGAAGACACAAGGCCTACTCCTAGCTCTCTCTCGTGGGATGGCCCTCCCGGGCCATGGGCACAACACACAAGCCTGTGTACCCACCACGACATTATTAATAAAGTAAGAAGCCTCCGAAGACGTTTATCATTCACACCCCATTATCATACTACCAATAAACCCATTAAACATTGGTAGCAGCGGTGGTCGCAGCAGTTGTTTGCCCGGAGAAAGGAAGGAGAGGTATGAAGTCATCTTCACTTCATTACCCTACACAAGTAGCATCCGTCTCTCAACAAGTTATCCTGATGTTGTGTCTGCACGTTTGAGCATCCAGACACAGGTACAAGC